CACCGTGTCCGAGCCGGAGCCGGAGCCGGAGCCGGAGTTTCGCGGGGTCCCGAGTCGGCGCCGAGCGCCTTCCCCGCCGACCGCCGCGTCCCAGCGCCCGTGGAGCCGCCGCGCCGCCCGCACACACCTGAAGCGGCCGGGCTGGGCCCCGCCTCGGCCCTCTGCTCGTCCTCTCCGTCCCGTACCGGCCTTCACTCTGGAGCGGCTCCGGCAGCCGCAGCAGGGGCGGCGGCGGCGGATCGAGGAGCTCTCCAGGTCGTCGCGGGAGCGGCTGCTGCAGTCCCGGGACAGGATGTTCTCTAAGTTCACCTCCATCTTGCAGCACGCCGTGGAGGCGGTAAGGCCCCGGGCTGCGGACGCACGCGAGGCCGGGGATGGTGGCGGCCTACGTTCCTTGACGGCCCGGGGAGAGCCGGCAGTGTCGGCTCGGCCTTGGCGGCCCCAGCCCCACGAACGGACAAGGCCCTGGGCAGGCGTCCCGGGACACGACGGGGGCGCCGAGGCCTTGGCCTGGGTCTGAGCAGGCCCCCGCCTTTCCTCCTGCCCCGGGCCGGCCTGGATCCCTTCCCTCCGGGAGGGGGTGGACGGGGGCGCCCGGGAGGACCGTCCCTCACGGCCCGGGGTCGGTGGACAGCTCATTACTCCAGCCCGGCACCTGGCGGGGCCGCACGGCTCTCCCCAGGGCTCCCTAACCGTTAACCTCCGGGAAGAAAAAAAAGAAAAGTGGCCAGCTTGGCCCAAGACAAAAGAAACGACCAAACACTGCTTGGGCTTGGTTTGATTATTTTGTTTTGTATTGTTTTGAGGGGGAGGTGATCTTGCAACGGAACGACTCTAGCAAGCTAGCAGCTGACCCGAGCCGGGTTCATAATATTGCTACCTTTTGCAGGCCTTGCGGCCGAACTCGGCTGGACTTGATTGATCCGCAATAGGCGTTTGGAGGGAGGGTGGGATCGAGAAGGGTGTAAACAGCATCCAAGCTCTCGGGGCGCAGAGCCCGTCTGTTTCCTCTCGCCCTCTGCCCTCCTGGAGTGTCTTCGTTTACCGTACAGTTGTACCGTCTTTTGAGGATTTTAGACACCAGCCTAGAGAGACGTTACATTGCCCGAATATCCTAACAGACCACTAATACAAGAGAAGTCAAAAAAGAATGTCTTGTGCAGCTTTCATAGTAAGAGCGGGCTAATGGCCTTCCTTTACTCTGGGAGGGTTGCCCCAATTAAAAAATACATCCTGCCAAGAAGCGATTACTTTGCTAATTTTTCACATGCATTGTCTTTCCATGTCCAGGTTATGTGGTATGGCACTTTAAAACCCTCTCAACTTTTTTTTTTTTTCTTTTAATCACAATAGAACGATTTTTATGGCCAGGTGACAAAGGGAGACTTTTTCTATTTCAGTAACGAAGTCAAAATTTTAATCCAATTGTTTAATTACAATTGTAATATAAAGATTTGGGGAAACGTTTAAAAATAACTGTAGCTCGCCTACAGACTGTTGAGAAAACCTGTATCACATCAAGAAAGCCAAAGTTTTCATGAATGAAAAACCATATTAAACGTGAGGGAGATGACAGTTTTAGACTTGAAGACACAAGTTAGTTTTCCTTACTTGCCAGTGCATGTCAGTTACGTGGCAGCTTCTTTATGGTAAAAGAATTTAACAACAATTTGTAAAAAGAATGACATTTACATTTTGTCATATTCATTCATTTAAATACCAAGAATCACTAGATTTTTAACATTGAATGTAGCTTAATACTGAAATAATTGGGAATAAAAATGTCTTACATTGTCTATATTCTTAACCTGTCAGGCTGACATTTACAGAAATAAGTACTTAGAAAATAAGTACTTAGAAAAGATGGCTTTCCAGCCCTGTTAGTAAAGACTTATTTTTGTCCTGAGGCCTGTGCTTTTTGTCCTCTTTATCTTTTCATAATTGTATACATTATCATCTGCCCAATTATCCATATAAATTGCCAGGCTGGCTTTGTAATACCCAGGTTCTTTGCTTTACTGAAGTTAGAAAGGGTTAGAATGGATGATGTTCACCTGGCTCTAGGAGGGAAGGCATTTTGCTAAGAAAGGTACTGCTTGTATCTGTTTGGAGCCAGTTTACCTGACAGGATATTAAATCGCATGAACATTTTTTGATGTCCTGATTTCTTTCCTGGAAATTAACTAGCATGTAGTGATAACTAATCCATCCTTGTGGTATTTGAAGAATGCTTTCATAGCCCAACATTGGTTTCCAGGTACTCAGTTCTATTTATTCATTTGCTTGTTTTTTTTTTTTCATTTCATTCACTTTTCTCTCTACTTTTAATTTCCGTATCTATTCACCCAATGCAATATTCTAATTAACTTCATTTTCAGGATTCAACCAGAGGAAAGAGAATCCTGTACCTGGTCAATTACATGGCCTTTATTTAACAATTGTGTCTTTAGTGGGGTCTGCAGAGTAATATCTTCCCAACCATTTTGCTGTTATTTATTTTCTTATTCATTTGGATTAGCCTTCAATTTTTTTTTTTAGTTGATCAAATGCTGCATGTTGATATAAGTGAAGTTTAACTGTAGAATTTCCTTTATTGTTGAATCTGTAGTTTCTCCTCACTATTAAGTATTCATATGTCATTAAGCTGACAGACTGTTTTTAGTTTCTGAAAGAAATTCACACCTTGCCCAAAAACATGAACCGTAATGTGAACTGCTGCCACCCTTTTCCAGGAATGACATGTCTTCTATCAGTACAAAAATGCTTGGCAATAGTAGCCAGTAGGCGTTTATGAAATGCAGCTCTTCTGGTAGCCAGTTCCACGTGTGATGAGTCTGCAGTTAGGCCTCTGTTGCATTTGGAGGTTGGACTGGATCATTTTAGCACAGCTTTGCCAAAGAATAAATATAACATCTTCCTTTTAGAACATTTCAGTGTTTGTCGAGGGCCTCATAGGTGCTAGCTAATCTGCCAGCGGTTGGTTTATCTTCAGTTCCAGCCAGTTTTGCCCTTGAGAGATTTACTCCAGAGACGATAAAGAGCAATGCCAGGGAAGAAAATCTTACCTGTTTTAACTAATTAACTCAGTGAAAGTCACTTTTTGGAATTTGAATGCAGTATTTTCTCAGATTATACTTGAGAGTTAGTTAATAGTAATTGAAGACGCTAAGGTAGTGCAGGGAGCTCTGGTAGCATAGTGGCTAAGACACTTGCCTGCTCACCAGACGGCTGGCGGTTCAAACCCACCAGCCACTCCTCGGAAGGAAGGTTGGGCAATCCTACTTCCATAGTGATACTGCCTCGGAAACCCAAGGAGGGGTCACTATGAGTCGGGGCCGACTCGATGGCACATAACAACAACAACAACAAGGTAGTGCAATGGTTAAAGCATTCAGCTGCTAACCAAAAGTTTTGGTGGTTCAAACTCTCCAGCAGCTCTGGGGGAGAAAGATATGGCAGTCTGCTTCCCTAGAGATCATGGCCTTGGAAACCCCATTGGGCAGTTCTGCTCTGTCCACTGGGGTCACTATGAGTCAGAAGCTACTGGACAGCAATGGGTTTGGTTTTGATTTTTTTTTTTTTTTGGTTGGAACCAGCAATTCTTTGAAAATCTGTTCTTCCCTGGGAATTAAAGCATCAAATGAAATATATACAGACAGTCCCTGGGTTGTGGACGTCCAGCTTAATATACAACCTGTAGTTAGGAACAAGCCCCCGTAAAGCTTATTATTACTGCTGTGTCATTATGTTAAAGATGTTTGAGTGTATATTGAAGTTTCTCTAATGATTTTTATGCATAGGAAGGTACACTGTATACTATGTTCTAAGACAAATATTTGATTAACTGACATTAGATGCCAACCATACCTAATTGTTCTGATTAACATACAAATTTGACTTAAAGACAGATTTGGGAACTGGTTCATAATCTCAGGACTACCTGTATAGTGTTTTCTTTTCCAATTAGTGATCTCTAACTTCAGTACTTCAAGCAGTCAACAAATGTTTTATGAGCCCACCATGAAAGCAAAAGCATAATGCAAGGAGAGAAAAAAGCTATTAGCTGTGTCCTTGGTGAGTCTGCAGTGTGATTAGGGAGACAAAACAAGTACCCAATTTAAATTATCATATAAGAAGTATACAACAGTGTGGCCTAGCCCTCAAGTCCGAAAGAACAGGGTTCCAGACCCACCTTTAACCCTTACTTCTGTGCTGGAAAAGTTCCTTAATCTTCGTACATTTCCGTTTCTACATTGTACAGTGGAAAGACATCGCTCATAGAATTGTTATGAATATTAAAATGAGATGATACATATAAAGTAGCCAGGACATAGTCATTGCTCAATAAACGTTACCCATTATTATCACTTGGGTGAGAGGTTTAGCCGGTGAGTTCTCTAGGAGGAGGGGAGAAAGCATTGGGACTCTAGTGGTCAGAGAGGCTCTGTGGAGGAGAGGACCCTGAGCTGCACTTTGGATGGGCAGAGAAAATGGGTGGGGTATTAGGAAAGTCAGGGGGAGGGAGAGGCATTTGTCCAAGACCTGGGAGTGGGCTGTTTACCATACACGTGAGACATGAAGCAGACGTGCCTTTTAGAACATGAGCTTTCCTCTGAATTACCAGTGTGAATCCTTTTGGGTGGCCATCCTTTGGAGAAAGACAGCTCTGGATTTCCAATCACCAGCAGTGTTTCCTTGGGCAAGCCAGTTAACTTGTTTCACGTCTTAATCCGAGTTTTTTGTGCAGAATGGGAGTTTATTATGAGACTGTAAGATTCTGATATGTATAAACTTTGTAGCACTGTGCCTGGCGCATAACTGCTCAGTAAATGTGTCGTACATTTATTTATTCGGTCAATATTACTGAATGCTTATTGTGCCCCGTACTCAGTTAGACCCCGAGATTTCATTTTGAGATGAAAAAGAGGATGAAATCCCAGCTCTCAGGGAGTTTACAGTGGAGCAGAGGAAATGGATAATGAAACATTTATGGAAGTGGGATTGGGGCCTGGGAGAGAGTGCCACAGGCAGGGGGAGACGGCTGTCTCCTAAGCAGGCGCTTTGGTGAGGCTGCCCAGAGAAGGCAATGCCTACGTCATGCATTTGTGTCCATTTTGGTTGAGATCTGACTATATGATTTTTTTAAATGTAATCTCTTATAAAAAAATAATAATAATAATTCAAATTAGAACTTGATCTTGCTGGTTCACAGAATTCTTTTTTTCACCAACTCATGTTTTTATACAATGATAAGACAGGAAATTAATAAATCAGAATTAGTAATGAAAGAGTCAGGTTTACTGGAAAGTTTTATATAAATAAAGCAATCTTTGTGTTGAACAAGATTGTTACTAACCTAAGTTTTTAGCAATTTACAATTATTGAACTGTCTACTTAAATAGATTTCTTATTTAAATATAACTCCTGGGAGAGAGGTATTTACAAACTAAATAACACCAGCTTGCTTTGAACTTGATTGTAACCCACAGCAAAAATCCTGACCCAAATCTTGTGAGACCGCTGGTCCACCAACTTGCCCTTGAATTAGCATTGAGTCCCACCAGTAAAATCAACTGGAACAAGGATGCAACTCTTTATAAACCCGGGAGATTCCCTTGGAAAAACATAACAAATCACACATTCACACTTAAGAAACTAGATATATTTCTCAAAACAACAAATTTCATATGAGTCCCAATTGTTAGTACATTGAACTACGTGAAGCTAACAGAAACCAGTTGCCATCGAGTTGATTGCGACACACAGCGTCCCCATGTGTGTCCAGGTAGAACTGCTCCACAGAATTGTCAGGGGCTGATTCAGAGGTGAATTGCTTGGCTCTTCCTCCAGGGTGCCTCTGGGTGGGTTTGAACCTCCAGCCTTTCAGTTAGCAGCCCAGTGCATTGACTGTTAGTCCCACGCATGGACTCCGTATATAGCCAGTCAAGGTCCAGAAAACAAGGGAAAATGTATGTACTTAGAAGAGAATTCTAAAAACAAGTGATGCATTAAAACAAATTTTTTTATCTGAAAATTTCAGGTAGATTATTCAAGTTACTGCTTGGATTCTGACCTCCTCATTTTTCTCAGCCCTTCCACGTGTAATTTCTCTCTCCCTGTTCTCTAGTGAGTCCATACTCTCAGAGGTTTTAACTCCCTTCTTAAAGATCTTAAAGTCTGTTGTTTTCAGATTTCACAGCCGTCTGTTTTGTAGAGGAGAAAACTTACCTTCTTTCAGTCTAGTGCTGTTACCAGGAGTGCAAGTAGACCAATGTAAGAAGAGCTAGCATCGAGATGCTGATGATTGCTAAAAAATCGTCAGGGCTCTTGTTTTCGTAACCACATTTCCTCTTCCACATTGAAACATGTTAGATGGCTGTGCCTAGTATTTATAATTTCGTCAATAGTCTGGAGATTGTTTTGACAGAGTTGCCAACTCTGAGGTGCCTGCTATGATCACCAAGAGGTAGAAACAGATAGAAGCCCAGGAGTGAGGGCACCTCTCACAGGTCATCTGATTGGATGATCTTAGAGATCGTGGAAGGTTACTCTGACGTGTCTTAGCTTCTCAGAATACAAACCTACTTATTTTAACCAAGGCCCCTCAACTTTGTGCTTTCTGACTAAAAATTTATTCACAATGCTAGGACTGGAGTAGCTCTTGCTTTCTCTCACTGTTTTTAAGGAAAAGGAAATGATGTCAAAGATCCATGCCAGAAAAAACAAGATTTTTCTATCCATTTAACACTCATCTGAAATACTTGTAGGTTGGCTATGAAATGGCTGAAGGGATGTAATTTTGGCCTTGAAATTTCTGAAGTAAATTTCAAAGCTAAAATGTAAAGCTTTTTACTTTGTGGAATTTAAATTGGTAGTTTCTTATTTATATAGTTATTTTGCTAAAAGTGTGCACTGCCTAATCCAGACTTTGGTAGTGAGCTCTCGTGGCACAGTGATTAATGTATTCAGCTGCCAGCCAAAAGGTTGGCGCATCAAACCCAACAGCCGCTTTACCAGAGAACGATGAGGCATTCTGCTTCTGTAAAGACTCACAGCCTTGGAAACCCAGTGGGACACTTCTGCTCCGTCCTGTGGTGCCACTGTGAATCAGAAACGACTAAATAGCGGTGGTGGGTTTTTTAATTCTGACTTCAAGGAGAGGGGATTTATATCCTATGTCACTTAAAGTAGGGGACAGTTTTCGTCTGATTATGAAGTCGACTTTGGCATGTGTACCTAGTACTAGTGGTGATGTGTAACTAATTACATAGCAGCTTTTTACTGCCCCGCATTTCAATGTCCCAGGTACAAAGATCCCTAATTATCGATCATTTCATTTTACTGATAACTCAGTGGTAGAATACGTGTATGGTTTCATTTAATCTTTTATTTATTATTTTAAGGCCATATAGTTACTAACTTCAGGGGAGGAGAAAAATCCCAAAAGTTTGGTCTAATTATGTTGATAAATGTTTTTCCTGTTTCTTGATGAGGCCCTTTTACTTTGCTGGCTTTGACGGGTGAGTTTCTGTTCGGTGTCTGGCACAGAATCAGAGTAAAGCCCACTTCTTACACTGTTGTGCTCCTTTTGCGTCATAATAGGCAGATACGGAGTTGTACTTTGTGGGAAACGTTTGATGCCATCGTCTTAATTGTTGTGTCTGTGTGTGTCTTTGTGCAGCTTGCACCTTCTCTTCCTTTACAAGAAGATTTTGTTTATCACTGGAAGGCAATTACCCATTACTACATAGAGACTTCAGGTAAGAAATAGTGCTAACATAATTAAGCAAAAGTTTGTGAAATGCTAAAATAAATAAAGTTGTAAAAATATCTATAACAACATTCGCCAATTGAACATTTTCCATATTTATAATTTAGTGATACCAAATTAAAATAAATTTTGTGTAAAATTTCAAAGTTATTTTATATTTAAGTTTATAAACAATTTCTTTTACCTTTAATTCATCTATTTATTCATTCATAGAAAACTTATCTATTGAACAGCTACTATGAGCCAGGCATTTTTCTAGACACTGAGGAATAGAACAGTCAATCAAATACTGCCCTTCCTAATGGAGTTTATATTTTGCTTGGTGGGAGGCAAGCAATAGAGAAATACGTGGTGTGTCAGGTGGGAAATGTTAAGGAGAAAACGAAGCAGGATGAGGGGAAAGGAGGTATGTGATGGAGAGAGAGGACAATTGGCTATTTGGGGTTAGAGAAAGCCTCGTTGCACAAGGTAATGTAGGAGCTGCCAACTGAAGGAGACAGAAAGCAAGCCTGATGGGACTCCGGGAAGACTGTCCAAGAAAAGGACTGAGCACACAGACGCCAAGGCAGGAGCTTGCAGGGTGCTTGGAGTATTCTGGGAACGATAGGAAAGCCATTGTGGCTCGAGGTAAGTGAACGGTGAAAGGCAGTAGGAGATGAAGACACACAGGTAACTGGGAGGAGAAGGGCAGGTTGGCACAGGGTGATCCACACAGGGATTTGGCTTTTGCTCTGAGATGAGAAGCCAAATGAGGTTTTTAAGCAGAGGTGGAATCTATTTTTAAAGGGTCATTTTGGCTCTCTGAAAAAATTAGATAGATGGAATGCAGGGTGGTAGCTGGTAGAACAGTTAGGGGACCCTTGCAGTGATCTAAGCAAGAGAAAGTGGTGACTTGCACCAGGTGGAGGCAGGGAGAAATGGTGGTTTTAAGGCAGATATGTTGATTGAATGAATTTTGGTTATGAGAGAATGAAAGTGAGGGATAAAGCCAACGTTTGGGGCTTGAGCCATTGGAAAAAGAGAGGAGCCACTTACTAATAATGGAGAAAGTGCGAGAGAGACAGGCTTTCACAGGGATTTTAAGTATGCTCATTACATATCCAATTGGATATGCCAAGCTCTGGTAGCATAGTGGATAAGGCACTTGACTGCTAACCAGAAGGCTGGCGGTTCAAACCCACCAGCCACTCCTCAGAAGGAAGATGGGGCAATCTACTTCCGAAGTGATATTGCCTCGGAAACCCAAGGAGGGGTCGCTATGAGTCGGGTCTGACTGGACCGCACATAACAACAACAACAACAACAACATGCCAAAGAGACAGTTGGAAATAGAAATCTGTAATTCAGGGAAAGTCTAAAAGGAGAGATCTGAAATGGAGAGTCATCAGCATGTAAGTAGCCATGAGACTGGATGAGAATGGCAAGGGAGTGATGATAGATAAAAGAGAGGAGATGAACAGAACTGAGCCCTTGGGCACAATGGTGAGAGGTTGGAAAAGTGAGAAGGCTAGCAAAGGTCGGTGCTTTGGCCACTGAGATAGAAGAGCTCAGAGAGAATGGTGTCCTAGAAGCCAGAGAGGAGAGAAGGATTAATTGTGTCACTGATGCTGATGTTAAGTTAATGAAGACTAAGAATAGGTGTTGGATTTATTCACAAGGAGCTCATTACATAAGATAAGAGCCCTTTTAATGGCTAGGAGGAGGGTAAAAGCCTGACTTGAGTGGGTTTAAGAAAAAATGGGCAAGGGACACAAAGAGATTGTGTGTCAGCTGCTCTTCTGAGGAGTTAGTGTAAAAGCAACTGCCTGAGGGAGGTGGGCTTCAAGAAAGGTTTTCGGTTTGTTTTTAAAGATGGACAGTATTCTAGTTTGTAGTTGGAGGGAGTTGATTAGTAGAGCAAGAAAGGGATGCAGGACTGAGATGAGGCCGTTTCCAAGCAGTGTCCTTAAGTAGGCAGGGGAGGACGCGGTCTGATGCGCAAGGGGAGACGTAGCCTTGAACAGGCACATGGACAAGTGCATCCACAAGAATCAGGTGGGAAACAGAACATACGGACGCAGACACAGGAGGGGAGTAAGTGTGGTGGAGGAGTCTGCTGGAATTCTTCTCTAGTTTCTTCTGTTTTCACTGAATAGGAAGGCTGGAGAGTGACGGGGGGCATGTGAATAAGTTAGCACAGGGGCTGGCAAACTTTTTCTGTAAAGGTCCAGATAGCCTCTGTTACAACCACTCCACTGTGCTGTTGAGCAAAGGAGCCAGGCCCCCATGAAAGAAGGCCTGAGTGTTCATTGTTCGAATGCAGCAGCCATTTACAAAAACAAGTGCAGGGCTGGGTCTGCTCCAGGGCCTCCTTATGCTGACCTCTGAGGCAGAGAACAGAGTAGCATTGCCACATAGCACGCCCCTGAGGAGTGTGCAGGTGACACTAGAGGGTGTGCAAAGTGGTTGGACTTGGCATTTAACTGAAAGGGAACATAAACGAGGAGGGGATTTGACAAGCTGATGGGGTCGGAGGTGATATTTTCTTTAAAAAAACTATTATGTTTGTGCCGTAAGTAAAAATCAGACTGAAAAAAAAATACCTTTAAATGCAAAATATAATTTCTGATTTAATTTTTATGTTTAACCAGGAGCTCTGTAGATGTGCTTTTTGGGAAAGGCTACCTTTTGAAATGACTGTTCTTAGTGTTAGTGACTCCTCCCTCCCTTCGTGGTTTTCAGAAAATGCGTACATTCTTGCCTTAAAGTATTTTAGGCAATCTAGTAGGGAAATACACGTCTGCATTATGGTAAAGTATGGGATGCATTAAAAAGCCCTTCAGGTAGCGTGTCAGGGAGGAGTGGGAAGAGGCAGCATCTGACCTGGGCTGAAGAACAAACGGGAGATTCCAGGTGGATAAGGAGAGGAAAGATACTTCAGATGGAAATGCAAAGGCATTTCTAGTTTGGAAATGATGAGGGTGAGCAGCAGAAGCTAGCTCTTATCTTCTTGGGAGCTGGAATTTTATTCCTGTCAAGTCAGATTTCCAGTTGACTCAGTTCTCAATTTAAAAAATTATTCCGGCTACTTTTTGCCCTGTAAATAACTGCAATCACAGCATGTTTGAGTATTTCTTCTTTCTTGGAGTGTTTATGTAAAGTCTGTGATTACAAGGGGAAAATGGTTTTGAAAAGTAAATTGACATATTATTTTTTGTTACCACAAGGCTACTCAGTTTCTACTCCTTCACCAGTATTACAATTTAATGTTGCCACAATCAAAAACACAACGTATAAGCTGCATATTGGGCAGGACTGGGGAGTGTTCTGTTATACGTGGGGTTGCCGTGAGTTGGAGCTTACACAACAGCAGCTGACGACTCTCCTTTTATCCTGAGTTATTCGGCTTAATGTTCAAGGCCAACCTGTTTGTACATAAAGAAGCATAAAGTTCAGATCTTCTTAACTGGCTAATTGAAACAAAAACGTGAAATTAGAAGTATATGCAAAGTCCGATGTTGCATGTAATTTTCCTGGTCATGTTCCTACTTCCCATATAAATAGACTTATTTCTGAGATACTGTGGATGAGTATTAGTTTATAGAATATATTTCAGAATATTGGCTCAGTTTCTGAATAAAAGCATGGCAAAAACATTGCCTAATTTCTATCAAAGATAGTTGTACCTTGTGTAATAAGCCTCAATGAAGTGTGTAGTTCAGTTTTCTCTCAGTTCAAATAAGAGCAGCGAAATAAAGAATATTTTAAGCATAAATACACAGTTAAAAAATGTTTGATTATTTGATGAATATTTTTTATTATTTAGATGATAAAGCCCCAGTGACAGATACAAACATTCCATCACATCTGGAGCAGATGTTAGATATATTGGTCCAAGAGGAAAATGAACGGGAATCTGGAGAGACGGGGCCGTGTATGGAGTATCTGCTTCATCACAAGATCTTGGAAACGTTATACACCTTAGGGAAAGCTGACGTAAGTTCCTTGTCCACAGGATGTTCTCAGGAACGTAACACAAGGTTCAGGTTTTCAAAATAATCTGCCAAGTGCGGACTTTAATTACAGTGGTATGTATTGAGTCACACGTGGCAGGGTTCAAGTTAGTGTTACGAGTAAAGGAGAATTGTAGCCTCTATGAATGTGACACCCATAGAGTTAGCACAGCTTCCAAATGCTCTGGACAATAACTAGTACTCAGCCTCGAATTACAGGTAAACATTTATGAAACTACACTCTCATGTTTGTGCTCAGAATTAAAGAATAGGAGGGAAAAAACAGTGAAAATGGATTATAAATATAGGAATTATTTTTCACAGTTTTGAAAAAGAGCGTGACTGATGACTGGGACATTAGCTTCACTGATGAGTAAAGCTAATTCAGATTTTCAGGCCTGATCCTGATGAACCCGGCCACCACTCGTGTGTCAGTTTGTCATACTTTGGTGGCCTGGGCAAATCTACTTCAGGAGACTGCTCTTAACACGTAAAAAAAAAATTAAAAAAAAAAAGCAGAGTGTCACTAACACACACCTGACCCAAGCTATCATATTTTCAACTGGTTTATATGCTTGAGAAAGCCAGACAATAAATAAGAAAGACCAAAGAAGAATTAAAAAAATGATAATAATAACCTCACTGCCATCAAGTCCGTTCTGACTCATAGTGACCCCCACTGGGCTTCCAAGGCTGTAAATCTTTACAGAAGCAGACTGCCTCATCTTTCTCCCATGAATCAGCTGGTGGGTTCAAACCACCAACCTTTTGGTTCGCAGCCAAATAACTTAACCTCTGTACCATCAGAGCTTCTCTGAGAATTGATGCCTTTGAATTATGATGTTGATGAAGAATATTGAATATACCATGGACTGCCAGAACAACAAACAAATCTGTCTTGGAAGAAGTACAGCCAAAATGCTCCTTAGAAGGAAGGATGGCCAGATTTCATCTCATGTACTTTGACATGTCAGGAGAGGGGCATCGTGCCTGGTAAAGTAGAGAGTCACTAAGAAAGAGGAAAGACCCTCTGTGAGATGGATTGACGCAGTGGTGGCACAGTGGGCTAAGCATAGCATTGTGAGGATGGCGTAGGACTGGGCAGTGTTTTGTTCTGTGGACGTATGTGGTCCCTTTGAGTCAGAAGCAACCCAGTGGCACCTAACAACAACAGCAAAAACAAATGCACCTTGAAAAATCATTGCAAAGCTCACGTTATGGCATAACTAGTGTTTTGCACAGTAAAACTTTCAAGTTACTTCTAAAGACAAGTTTTCAAACCACTTGGTGCCGGGAGAGAAGGTCAAGAGCTTTGCGTTCAGGTTGAAAGGCTTGGCTTCCAGTTCTGGCTTTGACAAGCGTCCTTGCCCAACTCTAAAAATCTGTCCTCCTGGTCTGTGAATTTTTATAACATGTGAAAATCAAACTAAAAAGAATTACTAACTTCTGGACATGTGTAAAATAGAGTTATGAGTAGTAGTATTAGAGACAGTTTTCTTTCAACTGCATCTGTAATATCCCTATTGAGTTTTCACATAGGAATGCCAACAATGTTTATCATCACCATTACCAAACCAAACCATTAGTCTGATTTGTGTTTTGTAAAAATATTTGCTGAAATACTTGATTTTT